ATTACATATGTAATGAAATGAACAAACTAACGTGTAGTACAATCATACAGTACAGTAGTTTAAGTGTGGGAGAGTCATGCTTCGGCACGAATGGGCCGGCTCGACCGGAGTGATACCACGGCCTCACAGAAAACCGACGTGAAGCAACGCTTGCATTGTGTTTCGTCGCGTGAGTGAGGTTACCGGAGGCCCAATTTCCCTCCCCTTCCCCAATCTCCCCAATCCCTGAATCCCCAACAATCCTCAAACTCCTAATCCACAAATAGCCGGTAACGCACTTGTAACGCCTCTGGTGTTCCAGGTGTCCATGGGCGACGCCGATTGCTTTCCATCAGGTGATCCGTCTGCTCGTTTACCGGCTTACGCCATAAAAAAAAAAAAAAAATACATAACGTGCCTGTCTGCCATGGACAGATGGAGTAGGCAGAGACTATAGAGCGCCAATTGCTACAATTCTTACATACCTCTTTCACTTCATCAACAGTCATTAGGTTTTTCATACATACTCGTCGATTAGAGGTACTTTTCATTTGGTAGAACTAATGCATACACTTCCTGTTTATGCATATTCTTTACTTGAATATAATACGATAATGATAAAGAAATCGACTAAGACCCAAGCCATCACAGAACAAAGACAAAGATAAAGAACATGTGATGAAATGGGCACACAAATTAATTACTAATGTACCTAAAAGTACTCGTCTAAGTATCTAAAAAAAGTAAATGAAAATGCTTTTTACAGAGATTGTAAATAGTAAATCCGACAGCCATCAGATTTCTTGTAGAGTCTAAGCCTAAATGCAACATATATGGTATGAACCCTATTTATATGTATAAACCATATTTTACCCTCAAGTTGCGATGAAATACTACAGTCGTAGCACATGACACGTGGCTCGTAGCCCATAGATCGCAGTTGCATGTATTTCGCAACGCGTAGCTCGTAGCTCGTAGCGAACAGGTCGTAGCGCGTAGTTCGCTAGGTGTAGCTCGTAGCTTGGAGCTCATTGCGTAGTTTTTAGCTCATAGCACGTAGACCTTACCGTGTAGGTTGCGCGTATCTCGGACTGCGTAGTTTTTTGCTCGTACCGCGTAGATCGTAGCTTAGAATGTAGTTACTTGAATGAAAACGAGATTGAGACACTCCTCCAATTTAGTGGTTACTAACCTCTGCCCCTAACATCGTCCGTGTAGAAGACGGTCCTATAATGACATTTTATTTGTTGAATATTTGAACTAAACTATTAATGTTTTTAAAATATAAGTATTTGATTTTTATAATCTGTGTAACTGATTTTCCTGTGTGTAGATAACATGAAAAAAATAATAATCTGGAAGCACCCTTTAAAACTTGGTGCAGTGTAAGGTAGCACGACACACGCCTGCAAAAAAATTATCTTCTAATTTTTAATTGGTCCTCCACGACGTACTATCTCTGTCTTTTTCTATAGAATGTATAGTGACAGAACTATTATTGTGAGCGTCTTAAATTGAGTGGTATTTGAGTATTATGTATAGGTACGGATATGTTATTTGTGGCTTACGCTGTTATAGTTTCTTCCCATCTGTTTCGTAATAATAACAATCACCTATTCGGCCTGTATAATGTATTTTATTTTATTTATTTGGTAAAACAAACAGACACATTACATGATACATTATGAAGGCACAATACATAGTGCGAACAAATATGTAAACAACGGCGTTTTCCACAGAATATACATGAAATCATAATCACCATCACACAAACATATATAACTAATAAAAAAGAAAACGTAAATAAGATTGATCCCTGATTAAATGTGGACTGCCTCGAACTGTGAACTGTCTCGGTTTCGTTTCCCAGGTCGGGCTGACGGGACGGGAGTAGCACGGAGTCTGGAAATGTGCCGGGTATATGGCAATAGGCTCACCCGCTATTACATGGAACCCCTGCCTACCCCTTCGGGGATAAAAGGGGTAATGTTTATGTTATGTTATGTGGAATCACCAATAAACCTACCAACTAATATGAATTGACTTTAAGTATTATGTCCTAAGTTAGTAACAATTATTAACTAAGTACAGTCTTAATTGACACAGACATAAGGCACCAATTATGTATTTATAAATTGGTCGAGTCGAGAGAGTAAATCTCTCTTCCAGTTTGCTAGAACGCACTTAGATGATGGAATGGACTTAGACTTTTAGAAATAATGTCAGCCGTGTAATGTAACTTGTGACTTGTGGTAAATCGACTTACTATATTGAGCATGTTATCTCAACTTATCGCAGTTCGGAGTCTCAATGACTCTCCGCGTCATGTTTTTCCCTGACTCATGATAACCCTGCTTTATGTAAGCACGACCTCTGATTTACAATGTCCTACATTTGACTTAGGTAAGTATTTCAATCGCAACAAAATGCATTCGATCATCCGCTACATTGGTACACGAATGTCTTACGAACAACAACAGGCAGACAGTACGGTCTCGGGTCTTCGTAACTTGAAGAATATCATATCCAGCAGTGGACGTCTATCTACTACACTGGGATGTGGAGACTATGATGATATTGAATTCCTTGCAATATGAACCGGCTGCTGTAAACTGATGTTTTGTGTTATTCACAAATTGTTGCTGTGGGTCTTGGTATGAATATAAAATCGTGTAGTTGTAAGCACACCCAGGACACAGGACGATTATTGCAGCGTGTGGCAACTTTGAAATTATAGGAGAAATGTTTATTCAAACCACACGTGTATAGACGTACCTACTCTATTATATTTTTTTTTGAATAATGCAACAAAAACAAATAATCCAACAAACAGAAACTGTACGATATTATCTAAGATTGAAACATTTTTGACCACTTTGTTGGCAAGTGTTCGCAAACCCAACCATCTACCAAGAAATGAGTCTTCTATCTACTATGAAATAAATCAAATTGAGTTATATTTCCTAGTTGGGTTTTCGATACTCGACATTGAGTCAAACATTGATTATACCTCTAGTGACCCTTGCACCCGTGGCAATACCAATGCGCTCTCCTTAACTACCTCTAATATAAAGATGGGACTCGTGTTACATGTTTACATACCTAATCATACTATTTTCTTGAAATGAGTGGGTAGGTAAGTAGTAAGTACTGGCCAAAAGTGGAGCTATGCACAGTTAACATATACAGCAGTCCAAGTAGAAACTAGAGTGATAAAATACCTTTAACTTTAATAGTAATTTGTAGTATCTACTTAGGTAGGTAGGTACCTAGATATTATATTTGTCGGTTTAACTGAATTATTTTTTTCTTTCTAGAATGGCAACCGAGTGAACTAATATTATTCATAGAAAGTGGTAAATAGTTTGGCATAAGTAGGTAGGTACTTACACGTTAACCAATAAAAAAACACTGACAATAGTGTTATTGGGATACATTAATTTAAAAAAAAATACATATATCGTAAAGTATCTAAACAGTTCCGCTACTTGTCGCTAGATGGCACAACACGCTATTTATATCCCGCTGCAGAAACCTTCGTTTGCTAATCTAACTGACACTTATCCGTTTTTTTTAAACATAGTTTTACTGGAAAATTTAAAATAGGTTGGTATCTAAAACCTTAAATTTACTATTACGTTTACTAATGTTCATTTCAAAGACGTCGAAATCCTTGGTTCATTTCCACCATGGAATAGAAAACTAATTTTTTTCTTTTCCCTAACACATTATTTCGTTCAAAAAAGTCGGCAACGGCAACCCTTCTTCTATTATTATTACTAAACTCCCAAACTTCCCACTCAATCTTTCCACCAGTTTCTAGAAAGGGTACAAAAACCGCTGCCTTCTTTGTAAATAAAATACTGTCTAACTGGGTATAACCTGGGTGTCTTGAAGGCTTGAGTTCGAGTGAATAGGTAACCACATCATCGCCTAACACCACGTGAGATTGCTGTCAAACGTCGTCAGCCCATCAAATATAAAACAATACTGCAACAGGCGCTGGCGTTTAGTTAGTATACATTACAATTTCTAAGTATAAAATACATATGTGTGGGAGAGCCATGATTCCGCACGAATGGGCCAGAGCCGGCTCGACCGGAGTGATATCACGGCCTCACAGAAAACCGACGTGAAACAACGCTTGCTGTGTTGCATTGTGTGAGTGAGGTTATCAGAGGCCCAATTAACCCCCCATCTCTCTGAATCCACAACAATTCTCAAATTCCTAATCCCAAAAGGCCGGTAACGCACTTACATATTCTAGGTTCCCATGGACTACGCCAATTGCTTACTGGTAAAAGACAAGACATATCACCTGTGCTTATACGATAAAAATTATCGTCAATTTATATCTTCTTAACACAATGTAGGTAGGTATAGTGAAATAATATCTAAAAAAATTAGGAACTTGTCTTCTGTTAACATAAACGTGAAGCGCCATCTTTTAGTAGGTGCTCATACTTTTTGTGTCGCTTAATGGAATAATTCTTATAGACTCGAGAGCCAAAAAAAATATTTATGGACACATTTCCATACACAAATCATGACTCTCAAAGACTCATTGTATTGCATTTTCGGATTCATTTTATCATTATTCATCCTTCATTCATTAATCACTGCCATTGAACGTGGCAATGCTACCAGTCTTTTGGGCACCCTACCCATATCCTACCTCATGATAGTACCTACCAAATGAGAAATTTTTTTTGATGCCAAGCTGACATTTTTACCATTTTTTAATGTAATTTTAAGGTGTAAATATTTTAGTTTTTAGGTATTTGTATTAAAAAATTAACATATGTTTATGTAATAAAATATGTAGTGAAAATTAAAATTAAATATTTTAGGTTTCAGTAATTTGTATTATAAGTTGTATATGTTTCTTCTTAGTTAAGTTATTTAAGTTTTATTCATTATTTAAAGTTCATATTTTATAATGGTGACTCGTGTTCTTTTGTCATTGACTCACCCTGACAACTCTATGGTTTTAGTTAGGTAGTTAGTCTATGGTACAATGTTTGAAAAAAATTGTCAATCTGTCATGTCAAGATCTATGAGTTGAATCATTGAATGAATTAAAATAGAAAATGTTCTTTGGAAATTTGTTATAATAATCTTGATATGTGCATTTAATAAAAAGTTATTTTAGTGTCAAGTGTACTTCATGAATGTATCTAATAATTAAAGTATAAACGAGTGGCATACATGGCTCAACGCTTTCCTGCAAGCGGGCCAAGCGCCGCGCCTCCTCCAGGCCCAATGCAACCTCAGCAGCGGTACCCTGGTCCTGCACAACCTCCTGGATCACCAATGCCACCAAGACCTTACCCAGGACCCAATTTCCCTGTAAGATTATTACTTATTGTTGCTTTATCTGTGAATGCATCCAACAAATTATGTATCGCCGTACTCGTGACGCTATGTTTGTTTACAACGATCACCCGAATTTACTTTTAATTTATTAATTAATTTCTACTTTAGCAATCCATGCAGGAAAGTAGATAGGTAGGTAAATGTAATATGGTATAGACGGACCAAACAAGTGTGTAATGTGAATACAATCATCATCTTCACCATCAGCCTGTTTTCTTCCTCTGCTGGACATAGGTCTCTCCATTGGCATGCTGCGCCAATGAGTTTGATCCTCAACTCTATACATACATCCAACCACTGTAGGTAATAGTGACTTACCTACACCTACCTACGGTGGGAATAATATTTAACCGTTGACAGAGAAAAATAATCTAACAATAAGAAATATTAAATCCCAAACACTAGCACTGGTTCATTTCTCAATTTAAAGTATTCAACCCATTCTCATATTTATAATATTATGATAAATAAAAAACTGGCTTGAGCTCAGTCATGTTTGACATAATTATGAGGTAGCTAAATATTACATCTTACTAACGTTATAATTAGATATATGATGATAATATGCATTTAGTACTGTAATTGATACATAAATATACCAACAATAAAGTACTTTGGAAAATTTGAAAATGTAATGTGGGAGTCCAGTCCAGTTCGGTACCTTATGGCAATCTGTATTTGACACTGGCTATAAATAATATATAACTAAAAACAGTAACATATAGAGCTAGATCAGCATGATAAAATTATAATGGCTGCCTGGGTGACTTGCGGAGAGAAAAAAATACAAATAATATCCTGCACAACTGTAACAGATACTCTGCTCAGAAGAAGTGTGCCTGTATTGCTTATAGTGTATTTAAATAATGGCTTTGACTATTGGCAGGCTCGCAGCGGGTTCACACCGCCGCCCGGGGGCGCGGGGGGCGCGCCGCCAGCTGGGGGGCGCGCGGCCGGGGGCGCGGCCTACGGGGGCGGCCCGGCGCCCGCGCCTCTGCGACCGGCCCCAGCGCCTGCTCCTCCGGCGCCCGCCAAGCGGCCGGGCGACGCGCGCGGCCCGGCGCCGCACAAGCCGGGGCTATATGGGGCGGAGGGCTACGCGGCGGGCGCGGGCGGGGCGCAGGCTCCGAAGCGCAAGAAGCGGTTGGCCGACAAGATCCTGCCGCAGAAGGTGCGCGATCTAGTGCCAGAGTCGCAGGCCTACATGGACCTCCTCGCCTTCGAACGTAAACTGGATGCCACAATTATGCGGAAACGACTTGACATCCAAGAAGCCCTCAAACGTCCCATGAAACAAAAACGAAAACTCCGGATATTCATATCCAACACATTCTACCCAGGTAATAAAAAACCCTGTAAGCCAACAAATTTTTCAGTGTATGGAGCTCCTGGATTTTAATACAATTTACATTGTTTCATCCTAACTATCCTACTATCAAGTCATCTCACTCCCAGCCACCGTGTGGGCAATGCAGCATATGGTTGTAAATGTACTCAACTGTGAGTGAGGCTTTATGTGGTAACTCCACATAAAGCCTCACTCACAGTTGAGTGACTTTTAAAATAATAAATGACAATGACCAAATTTGTATGGAGCATGGTGCCTTTTCATTTTTTCGCGCCAGTTGATCGGATGTGGCAAAACTGATGCTGAATAACAATACAAACAAAAAAAATATATGGGGCCTTATATCAAAAACACAGTCCAAACCGAGTTAAATCAGTTCAAAGATGTGAAAATAGTGCTATATTATTCCTGTTATTTTGTTGATGGTGACCGTACACAACGCATATTTCTTCATTTACTTGTCAGAAATATTTTGTATTAATTATTTATAAACGATTTCAAGGAATATAATGAAGTTTGTTGTGGACCGTTTTACTTATTTTTTTTTTTGTTTTTTATTATTATTTTTTTTATAAGGCCACGGAATCAGAACAGAGTCAACCATTAACTAGCCTAAGCTATACGGTTTATGGCCTATGACAGATTTTCATGATCAATTTCCTCTCAGTCGAAAACCCGCAAAATACTTTCCTGAGCCCTATCATGAAATGCTATGTTCGTCACCTACGGCGTCGGTAGCGGATACACAATAAAACCATTTTTCTGTCTACTGCTTCCGACTTACTTCCGATTAGTAACTAATCTAACTACAGTTAATACTTTAATCGACAGCTAGCATAAGATTCTGTACAAAGATATCGTCATTTAGTCACAAAGTGATGGATTATATTTCGAATGATCACATTATATGAAAAAATTATGCGCTCATCTGACGTATAGTCCATCACTTTACAAAGTCGACGGTTTCCTTTCTTCAAAAGATTATGCTAACTATAAAGTAGATGAGTTTACCACCAGGAGTCAACGGCAAAAAAAATAATTTTTTTTTAGATTTTTGGACGGCTACCACTACTCAACCCACCACTGGTACCACAGCTGACGCTCATGAAGCTTCATGACACAACTCCTAGAAGCATTCCACAAATTATCGACTGAGGGAAAATAGCAAATAAAAATTAGTGCCTGGCAATATGGATATATTGTGGTGTGATATGGTGCTCCTGTGCCCGGCGTACAGTGACGCGCAAATTGAAATTAGTAATTGTGACAAAAATATGAATATTTTGAAAGGAAAAACCAAATTAAAATGTTTGACTTCAGCTCCTTTCGACGCTCATAACTCTGTCCAGACTGAGATTTCCATATATGAGCCCATAGACAATTTCGTTTGTAATGTCATTCTAGATAATATTTTCCATAAATCATCGACTGCCGCCAGAAAAAAGAAAGGCACCAATTTTAGTCAATGCCCTTTGTTTGCCTTTGATTTTCCCAAAACCCCAGTGATGAATATGATAAATTGAGAACTTCTTGTAATGGTATTGTTCTTTCTTGGTTATATTTGAAACACAAAAGGAATGTTTTATTTATAGGTCAGGGTGACACCGCTGTACCATCTTGGGAGCTTCGTGTCGAGGGCCGTCTGCTGGACGATACTAAAAACGATCCTAACAAAGTAAGACATCTTTACCTTTATCTTATTAATAGTTTGACACACACAGAGGCAGTAATTGTTCATTATCATCACTTACTACCATCCCATATTAAGTATAAAAAAATGTTATGTATATAAAAAAACAAACCGTTATTGAAGGCGTACGCCTTCATTACCGACACGATACACCGAATTCGGTCCCGCGAATATGCGGAACTAACGTGACTGGAGATGTTGCAGGTGAAGCGCAAGTTCTCATCGTTCTTCAAGTCGCTGGTGATCGAGCTGGACAAGGAACTGTACGGGCCCGACAACCACCTCGTGGAGTGGCACCGCACGCTGACGACGCAGGAGACGGACGGCTTCCAGGTGAAGCGGCCCGGCTACAAGAACGTGCGCTGCACCATCCTGCTCCTGCTGGACTACCAGCCGCTGCAGTTCAAGCTGGACCAGCGCCTGGCGCGCCTGCTGGGCGTCCACACGCAGACCCGGCCCGTCATCGTCAACGCGCTGTGGCAGTACGTCAAGACGCATCGTCTGCAGGACGTGCACGAGCGCGAGTACGTCGCCTGCGACAAGTACCTCGAGCAGATCTTCGGCGCCTCGCGCATGAAGCTGGCCGAGGTCCCGGGCCGCCTGGGCGCGCTACTGCACCCGCCCGACCCCATCGTCATCAACCACGTCATCGCCGTCGAGCCGCCGCACGACACCAAGCAGACTGCGTGCTACGACATCGACGTCGAGGTCTGTCACCTGTCCGCCCTGTCCGCCCTGTCCGCCCTGTCCGCCCTGTCCGCCCCTGTCCGCCCTGTCCGCCCCTGTCCGCCCTGTCCGCCCCTGTCATTCATGTGTGTGTGACCCATTACTATTGATGATGTCTTTGTAGGTGGATGACACTCTGAAGACTCAGATGAACAACTTCTTGTTGAGCACTGCCAATCAACAAGAGATCCAGGGCCTGGACTCCAAGATCCATGAGACTGTGAGTATTTTTATTTCATATCAGTACTATACTTGTTGCACATTATTTAATTTGCCTTAACTTAACGTTGCTGTTACAGGTGGACACTATCAATCAGTTGAAGACAAATCGCGAATTCTTCTTGAGCTTCAGTATGGATCCGCAGCAGTTCATCCAGAAGTGGCTAGTTTCGCAGTCGCGTGACCTCAAGGTGAGTGCCGGTCAAACTTGTCATTACCTTGGGTTAAGAGCTATTATTTTTCGTTGTATATCTTTATAATATTAAATTTAAAAACCCCCTAGATCACATATTATATTGCGTGCTCAAAGACAGAGTTTCTAAATTTACACAAACAAATTGTAGGCAATACATTAAGACAATTGAATCTTTAATCACTTGTAACCCTAAGCACTTTTAGTCATTTTTAAAGCGGAAACGTAACGGTAATAGTACATACCCTTCGTCAATACATTACGATAATATCAAGGGCGGTAATGGAGCGGAAAATTGCAATCTATTTGCCTCGTGCTTTTCATCGGTTTATGAAGGCTCTGGCGATACTAGTAATAATACACTTCCGGACACCTAAATCGAGCCACCTTGATTTTTTTGGTTTGGAGTACTGTAACTTGTAAAAAATCTATATAGAAGGAAAATGTTTTGATGCAGTTTTGGAGCTGGTTTAATCAACATTCATTTAGAGTGCCACTGTTCTAAAGAACTACAGTTTATTAAAAAAGTCGAGTTACGTTGAAACAAGTCCATATTTGCTTTTTTCAAAGAAAAAAATCTAATCGATTTTTAAATAAAAAAAATGTTTTAAATGAAATGTTTATTTAGTAACTTGTATTGCCTCCCCGTGCATTTATGATAGCTCTCATACGGTTTGGCATAGAATTAATCTATGTCGTTATGACATGTTGAGGAATGTCCCCCATTCTTCCAAAATTAAATTTTTGAGCTCCTCCGTGGTTTGCGGGGCAGGATGATGAGCTCGATCACGCCTCTTCAGCTCATCCCATAGACGCTCTATAGGATTTATATCAGGACTTCGCGCTGGCCATCTCATAACAGTGATACCAATGTCATTTAAGTACTGCCTGACGTGAGTTTCCCGCAGTATGGGCCCTTGCATTATCATGAATTAAAACGAAATCTTGGCCAATAAATCCAGCATATGGCATCACGTGGTTCTCTAAACATTGGCGAATGTATCTATTGCCATCTAAGGGCAGCAGTCGTGGTCCCGTTACTACCTCTAGCTCAGTTTTCCCTTCCATAGAAATTCCTCCCCAGACAGTCCATGATCCTCCATGCACCATAACTCACTCTTTCGTCAATACAACATTGCGCGAAACGCTTGTTCTCTCTTCGTTACACCTTACTCCTTCCGTCATTACCGTATAGCATTATCTTGGACTCATCTGTGAAGAGAACCTGGCTACATTGATGTCGAGTCCAATTTAGATGTTCGCGCGCAAACTCTAAACGGGATATTCGGTGTGCTCGTGTCAGTTTGGGTCCATTGGCTGGCTTATGGGGCTTTAAACCACGTTCATTGAGTCGCCTTCTAACGGTCCGAGCACTTACAGCCACTCCGTGAAAGTCCCTGAGCTGTTCTTGTATTTGAACAGAAGTAAGGCGTCGATTGCGTAAGCTGGTAGTGACAATGTATTGATCTTGTCTCGCCGTTGTCACCCGGTAACGAGGTCCTCCTGTTCGCCGAACGAATATACGCGCAGTCTCCAGGTATCGATGGTACACTCTTTGGACAGCGGAACGACTTATGAGAAGTTGTGAACTCGCATCTCGCTGACTTAGCCCAGATTGAAGAAGTGCTACAGCTTGCGCGGCTACTTCAGGTGAAGTATCCATAATTTTATAGCCAAAAGCGATTCAAATTAAAGAAAAAAAAAACTAAACTAAACTTTGGTTAACAAAAATAGCGAAAATTCAAACAAAATCGAAATGAAATTGCTTCAAAAGTAACTTTCTACAGCCATTATTTTTATCAAATCAGTGACCAAGCTACGCTTTTGTTCTTTATTTTAAAATCTTAAATTCAAATTTGGAAGAATACATACGGGAAAGACGATGAAATATGCCAGCATTAAAAATGCATAAAAACTTTTTTGTTATATTTCATATATTTTGTGTAATGGGCTTTTAGGCCCGGGAATATAATGTGGCTCGATTCAAGTGTCCGGAAGTGTAATAGTGTTGACAACATGTCTAATTACGGCAATGTGGCTCGTGGCATCTTGTTTTGTACACTCAAAAATTTATTTATACGCGGATGATCTCAAGATTGTTAAGCGAATAGAATGCGATCAGGATTCGTACAGACTTCAAGATGACCTAGACCGTTTCTCAAAGTGGTGTCTGGACAATAAGATGTCACTTAATGCTGACATTGACAAATGCTATCATGTCCCATTTCTGTGAATACAAAATAAACGAAAAAACTGTTTACGAAAAAGCATTGGTCCGTAATCTGGGCGTCTACATAGACAATAAGCTACGTTTTCATAGTCACATTGATAAAATCGCTTCGAAGGGTTTTAAAATGTTGGGTTTCATTTTGCTCAACAGTAAAAATTTTGAACACGCCACAACTATAATCGCCATTTTCAACTCAGTAGTTTTTTTTTATTGGGGAAAATCCTCGGACGACTGCTCCCGCCTGGGTGAGGCAGGAGGGAGTGTCAGACTCTTACTGACTAAAAACCACCCCGTTCCTTCTCCTGCACGTCGAGCCGGAGCCCCGGTTACCCGTTAGGTTCTCCGCGACTCCGAATCGGTATCGGCCCTGTTGGGCCCCATCTGTGGTGGTCTGATGGCTCTTTGAGGCGCGCGCGGAACGCTCGGCGCCGTCCGCAGGCCCGCGCTTACGGTGGCCGGAGATCGTCCCGCGATCCCCGACGCCCGGTGTGTCCTTCGCGATGGCTGGGTTGCGAAGAGGCAGCGCTTCGCTGCCTCACGCGTCCCGCCTCCTCCTTAGCTAGCATGACTGCTTCGCAAAAGGAGGAGACGGCATCCCAGTCCCCCTCGCTCCGCATCATGGCCTGCACTAGGCCCGGACGCGAGAGGTCGCCATCGCCGATCACTTCCCTGAGGACACGGCGGTGCTCAGCCCACGAAGGGCATTCTCCCACCGTGTGTTCCACCGTGTCCTCAGGGCGGTCCTCGCAGTGATGACACCCGGGCGTTTCCTCCCGCCCCATCAGACACAGGTACCTCCCGAAACTTCCATGTCCGGTGAGGACCTGCGTCAGGCGGTAGGTGAGGACGCCGTAGCGTCTCTCAAGCCACTCTTCAAAGAGGGGACTTACCGCTGCGATGGCAGCGAGCCCAGCCCTCGGTTGCGACAGACGTTGCTGCCATTCCGCCATGAGATCGCGCCGGAGCTCTTCCCGCCACGCACTAATCTGGCGGGGCATCGGAGTTTCGCCCCGGCGACGTGTCTCCGCGCGCATGCGATACACGCGCGCGAGTTTCTTCGCCTCCAGATCCCACGGCGGTAATCCGGCAAAGAGGTTCGCCGACTCCCCGGAGATCGTGCGGTATCCGCGGATCATTCGGATCGCCATGACCCTCTATGCCCGAGCGGACCGCCGCAACAGGTTCGGCGCCCGCACAGGGGCGCCGTAGAGGGCCATGGACCGCACGACCCCGGCCAATAGTTAGGTTAGGTTTAAAATTATACTGCAGCATAGTCTGGACGCCATTGTACGATATTTATAAACGTCGTTTAGAATCAATTCAGAAAAGATTCCTCTGGCATTTGACATATCAATGTCACATGACTAGTAAATTAAGCAGCTATAGCTCTCGTTTGAAGTATTTTAAATTAATGATGATAATAGCTGATCTAGGATTTTACGGCGGTTATTCTAGATACACTAATTATTATTCTAGATACACTTATATTATTCTAGATTCTTGTAAACCAATAAACAATTACATTGACCGCAGTTACTATGCCCAGTTTCTGAGGTACTTTTATCGGCAGTTTATCTATTCATTAGCGCTATTGGTACGATAACTTATAAATGTGCGTTTCTGTACAACGTAGTGTAAATTAAACTCCGCATAAACTTCGATTAACTTAACTGACCAACGAGGGCCGTTTATCGGTTCCATAACTTTATTTGACGTTTCATTTTGTGAAAAGCTACATAAACTTTTAGGTTTATAGGTACGTGTTATTTAAAACTATTTTCAGAGAATTATCAATGAAAACTACAGATCTTAACGAAATATTAGCATCATGTATACAAGCAGCTTATCAGTCTGATTCGGATGTAGGTAATCGAGTTAATTTCGAATATATCAGTACCCTGAAACTTATGAAATAGGAGAAATCCTTTCGAAATGTTTACTGGTGAAGAATTAAAATTGAGATATCGTTTTGAGAAGAACACTGTAATACATCTCAGTTATTTCATCAGCCCTGCTCTAACTCCTGTTATGCAACGCAAATATAATATTGTCTATGTTACAACATTTTTTTATTGCATTACGATTTTATGCAACAAATACGTTCCAAGTTGTAAAAGAAGAAATAAAATTTTAAACTGCAGTATACGTTGCGTGAATAATTCAAAATACCTACCACGCACAAAATCATCAACAGTTCGATAGAAACGAAAATAATGAGTTTGACGTTTTATTTTTTAAAGATCTGACAGTTATAAAGACGCTGACTAATGCCGGAATACTAAACCGTTACTCAATTTTAACTCGTGCTTAAATATCGTGCCATCTTTGTCATTTTACAAAGAATTTGTAGAGATGGAACTATATTTAAGCACGACTTAAAATTGAGTAGCGTTTCAGTATCTGACAATAATAATTTTAAATAATTATTGTAAATTATAAATTAAACTATTCTCGTTTGCCAAAGAAGAGAAAAAAATTAAATAAAACTAATGTACAACGAATTTAACTGATATACTTAATTAATTTCAAAGGCTATTGTTGAATGAGACCCCTCTAGTGGCGCAATAAGGAACTAGCTATCGGTTTCATAGTTGTCAAACGGCTCTTCGCGCATTCAGAAACGCAATGACAGCTAAGGTTTATCTTTTCCTTAACTTTCTTGAATGAATAGTAAGTGAGAGTATAACTGGGATCTTCAGAAACCGGGCATTAGCCAGATTAATGTGAATGTGCCCTACAAACTGGCTCGAATGTCTAGGTATCGGTTGCTTTCAGGTAAGGACTTTAAAACACGCCTGGGAATAATGTTTCCTCAATAAATAGAATGCAGGAACAATTCAGTCGCCTGTCATGCTCACATAATGTGGATATTGACATGTCCTACTACCTTTTTAAGGTGAAAACTGTCCTGAATAGGACATTCTCACAGAGTTAAACTCCACTATATATTTCACTCGTATTAAAATTTTACAGTTTAAAAATTATGATTTAACAAGTATTTTTAAGACGTCTTTTTTTATAAGCGAACTTTTTTGCTGTCTGCAGCCTTTAATTAAGGCTAAACTATACAATGTTTAAATATGTTTAAATAAATAAATAAATTATATTTTGTCGACAAAAGTCATACAAAGAGGAATACTGCTCAATAGGATCTCATTTTAAATTTGTATTTGTTTGCCTTTTTTTATAAAGCATGCGTCCATTAGAAAGATTATCTAGCTCTATTTTTCATTTATCTTGTAACTCAGATTAGTAAATGGTAATATTAATTTGTATTTGTAATTTGTACAAAATTTGTACTTCGTAAAATTGACGAGGGCGGCAGCATCAGTCGGCAGTGTGTCGCTAACGTGGCGTGTGGTCCGCAGAGTATGGGAAGCGCGGGCGCCGGCGCGGCCGAGGAGGAGCGGCTGGGCGCGTACTACCGCCAGGCCTGGGCGCGCGAGGCCGTGGCGCGCTACCTCACGGCGCGCCTGGCGCAGCGCCGCCGCGACCTCGACCTGGCGCTGCACTCGCAGCACCCGCCGCACGCGCAGCACGCGCCGCACGCGCCGCACGCGCACACGCCGCACCTGGCCCGCCTCTAACCGCGCCACTGTACACTCTCCCTTGTAATAAACTTTTATTCCGGCACCTCCGCGTTTCATTACTCCCTTCCAATGTTACACTTGTCGCTAGCCGCGCTAGCGCGACCACAGGCCTGATAATTACATACGCGACTGGAGCTGCGGACGACGAACGAGTATAGCAAAACCTTAAGCCAGCGTGCGTCCTATCAGTAACGTACGGAGCCGAGACGTGAACTCACTCCGACAATACGACCACGACAGGCCCAAAGTTAATCTATGAGTAATACTAAGCTCGAACAGTTTCGAAGTCTCTGAAAGTTTGCACACACAAATTTGTCGCAGTAGTGGAAAAATGATGACCATTGGGGTAAAGTAAAGACACAATCTATACAGTCGTCCAAAGAAGACGTCTAGACAGGGCAATGGTGCGGGGTTTGTTTAAAAGTGGCGACACTAAAGAACCTAACAACTATAGGCCAGTGTCTGTTTTCCTAGTTCTCAGCAAAGTCTTTGAAAAGTTGATGCTGTCTCGGATGCTTCATCATTTTAATAAACAATCTATCTTTCACCAACAACAATACGGTTTCACTTAAGGTCGTTGCATAACTGACGCTGGTATCACTTTGATTAAGGAAATATTTGGTGATTGGAGGAAGCACAGGATGCTATTGGTGTCTTTTGTGACCTCTCAAAAGCATTTGATTGCGTTGACTACGAGGCACTTTTGCTGAAATTAGATCACTACGGGATAAGAAACTGCGCTCCGTCTTATCTAGAAGAAAGTAAGTAAATAAGTTAGCTATACCGCAATTCAGACTGTCCAAGGTACAGAAATCCTTTATGGTGTTAGGTATCTCAATGAAAGTAAATTTAAAACATATTAAGCTCGAATTATGTAATCAAGCTTACTACACACTGACAGATTATCTTGAAGATAAGAATGGTTGGCAGCATGTTGGTTCAGCTCCAATGGACACTACTCAAATGTAGTCAGTAGTTAGATTCCAATAGTAGGTAATTTAATACTTTCATTCTAATGTAGACAATCTAGTTTACTTATGGCATCGAGCATTTCTTTCTTTATTGAAACAAAGAGTTTCCTTTTTCTTGTAATGAAGCACTATTTCTATGTACTGTCAGTATGCATAATATGTGAGCACACGGTGTGAGCACCATGTTAGTTTTATTTATTGTAAGCTTTGTAACTAGTACCTATAATGCGTCAAGCGTGTCTTTTAAGGCTTCCAGTCTCGATACATTTTCGAGTCCCGGGAAAAAAAAATCGAGACTGGGTCCGGTCCCGGGAGTCCCGGGAAAAACGAGACTTTCGAGACTAAATAAGTTTCATACTCAAGGTTTATACAATTAGGCAAATAAAACAATATGTTTCAATTATGCACTTTATTAATCAACTATTACAAAAAAAAACAAATGTATTATATAAAATTAACATTTTTCATTTTTAAAATATGCACGCAGAAAGCAAAGGGCATTCAATGACTTTTCAGATAAAGAGGATCTGATTTTGTTACAAAAGTACCCTGCATTTGAAAAAGCTCTCTCTGCTTCGACACTAGTAGGGGGGATGGATAGTAAATAATTATAGCACTGATTTAAATGCTTACCTCTGTCACCACCGTTCTCAAAGAGAGCTTTTTCTACATGCAAAGTCGTTTGCAAGTCATGGGTGCTAGTTTGTGTTTCTATTTTTTGAGGCTTTAGCAAGTTTTCAAGCTCACACGCTAGCTGTTCTTTAGCAGTTAAACAGGTGAGCTCAGCAGTTGCAATATCATTAAAATCATTGGCATTAGAATTCTCTGAATAATTACTGTCAATTGATTTTTCAGTTGTAACTTTATTCAATCTTTCGTATAATTGTTTTAATGATAGTGTAACCTCGTCGTTGTTTAAAGTGTTGAATGCCCTTAGATCTAGCTTATTTTCGAAATATTTGGAAGGATTGTGTAGGTATTGCAAAATACTCGCCTCAATTAGCCTGTTTTCCTTAATACGTGTACACAGCGAATTGGCAAGGCTTACGCTTAATGAAGTTTGTAGTGAATTTAATTTTTGGAGGCAGAAATTTAATGCTGTATCTGCTGTTATTGCCACGTCACTTAATTAAAATAATAATGGTAGTTTAGTAGATTGGTATTTTTTGTAGATTATTTAACTAACTCTCGAAAGTCTCGAAATTCTCGAAAATTGGAGCTGAGGTCTCGAGTCTCGAAAACATGAAAAAATCGTCGAGACTCTCGGGATTTTCGAGACCGAGACTCCCGGGATGGAAGCCCTAGTGTCTTTGCATTGTTCTCACATAGCCGTCAGTATTGGAATATGTATCAGAGACATTGTAGAACATACTTTTTTAAAAAGAGTAACGAATGGAATCTAGAGGTACATTATGGAATTATTTATTTTGTATTTGTTGACGTTTCAAAAGTACCAAATGATGGTTTAACTCGTCGAGTACCGTCATTATAGACACAATTATAGAACAATAGGTTGCGGTCACCGGTGACCGCTTGGTGTTTGACAGTTAAATTGAAATAAAAGCTTTGACTTCGACTTTGTGAGGGGCGAGACGCGGGTAGGCCGATCCCGAGCTGCGAACAAAACGATATTAGTAGCTCGGGATATATTATTCAGGGCTAATGCGTGTTTGTTTGTTTTACCGACTTCAAATAAAGGAGGAGGCACTATGTTCGAATGATTGTTTCTTTTTTATGTATGTTTGCTATCGTCATGGGTGTCGTTTTCATGCTTTTTGAGGGTGGTGAAAATGATGGTGCTGTCAAAATGTAAATCCAAGATGGCCGCTGCACGAAATTTTTAATTAATCGTCATTGGTATCGTTTCCATGGTTTTCGAGGGTGGTAAAACCGATGGTGTTGTCAAAATGTAAATTCAAAATGGCGGCTGCACGAAATTTTCAATTTATCGTCATGGTTTTCGAGGATGGTGAAAATTATGGTGTCAAAATGGGAATCCAAGATGGCCGCTGCCTGAAATTTTCAATTTACTAGCATGGGTATCGTTTTCATTGTTTTCAAGGGTGGTGAAAGTGATGGCGCTGTCAGAATCTAAATCCAAGATGGCTGCATGAAATTTTCAATTTATCGTCATGGGCATCGTTTTCACGGTTTTCAAAGGTGGTAAAACTGATAGTGCTGTCGAAAAACTCTTCAACGGTGTACAGTAACTACCTTGTGTTTGGGTTTGTATAATTTATATTGATTAGAACTTTGCACCTATGTGGATTATAAGTCGCAAAACGGGTCTATGTAGACTAACATGACACACTAAAAATGAAAAAAAAACCTAAACTCAAACTCAAACTCAAAAGCATTTATTTCAATTAAACCATAATTTGGTACTTTCGAAACGCCTAAAAACTAAAAATCAAAAAAACAATTATCTCTTATTGCACACGGGCCACTGATATAGGCCCGACGGGCCACATGCGGCTCGCGGGCCGCAGGTTGAGTACAGCTGGGTCAGTGGGTGGGTAACTCATCAGTACTAATATACCTAGTTATTATTGTTCCCCAAAAATATAAAAGTGTTCAAAGAAGTGCTCAAATCCTACTAACCTTCTTTGGGTCTACGTACATGTGCGAATCGTCTTTTTCGAAAATGTTATTCATACATAAAGAACGTGTATAGAACAAACTTACAGATTCTCACCTAAGGTTAGCATGCAGCGACAAGCCAGATCTGGACAAAATTATGAAAAACCGCTCACAGTTCACATCTTATCGCGGGTTACTCACGTGAATATACTGAGTTGAGTGAGCTGCGCGACGTCGCCGCGACCGCGCACGCTGATCTTGAGGAAGAAAGTACCCCTCTGTGGTTCGAAACTAGTAGAGCTTTTCTCTAGATTAATTTTGTAACATTTTACAAAATTAGCGATTATCGACAAATTAGCGACACTCCGCACGCCTCACCCAGGCAGAATAGCCATTCGATGATTTTTCCCGTTAAAAAGGTGCTTGCAGCCCGTGACACCATGACAAAAACGTGTTTGTGGCTCGTATTTAAAAGAGGTTGAGTACCAATGCTTATCGTACCGACTAGAAGTCGGTCAGTGACACTGACCGACTAGAAGTCGGTCAGTGTCACTGACCGACACTGATCGTATAGTGTATCTCCTAACAAATAACAGAAGTGCATACTTCTTTTTACGATCTATGTCACGACCTAGTTTTCAATTTGAAATACGTTTAGTACGGTTGACGGTCATCGAAGGAACGGTCACCCTGGGAGACGCCTCGTCACACGAAATCGCATCGCAGTAATTCGCATCGTAATTTTCTGCGTTACGAATTCGCATCGCAGTTTTGTGTACAAGCCCTAAACAGCTATTAAAATATGAAAGTAAATATCCATCTATCTACTTTAGCCATCAGTTTCCCAAATAACAAAGTATAATTGTGGCACCGTTACCAAACAATTAGATGTCTGTGTGGATCCTTTGGAGGAAGCCTAACTCGTGGCTGACTTACTGCTTAGTTTGTAATGAACAAGGTCGGGGCTTGTGTAGATACTTGTGACTTATCAGCTGTTAGGTAGTGAATACATATTTACCGAAGTGACGAGCTGCTGATATTTATATAATTAATACATGCAATCTGCTTGTGTACCTGCCACCACTTATGTAAAGCGGCGCGGTGAAAATAATCTTGTGTTGTGCTGTGTAGTGTGTACCCTACTTGTGTTCGCATTGTTTGTCTGTTTCAGCTGCGCACTTGTGATATTAAACCTTACATACATTATATATAAATATATAATATGTAATTCCTAAATCAACTCATTAACTCAAAAATTAAAATACCTACTTACTTAAGCATAATAATATGTTGAATAGATATAGTTACTATTTGAATTTATGTATAAACAAGATAAAATAGTAGAATGTTGCTCATAAACCTGCTCTAATGTTTGTTTATTAATAACACGCTTTTATTAGGTCAGATTGCAAGTAACTAGCTCACCGAATTACATAATCACCCAGTTATCATCATAAAACTTCGCCAGGCAGATTAGAAGTGAAGGTCAAGGTCTGGTGATGTGGTGATGGAGCTGGAAGGTGACTCAGCTCATGGAACCGTCCTGGTCTACAGTATGGAGTTTGTTCTCATTAGATATTTCCATTTCTCCTGATGAGGTCCTAGACCTATACCTGCCTACAGTGCCTACTATACGTACTATACGTCGCGTTCCGCGCGCGCCTCAAAGAGCCATCAGACCACCACAGATGGGGCCCAACAGGGCTGATACCGATTCGGAATCGCGGAGAACCTAACGGGTTACCGGGGCTCAACGTGCAGGAGAAGGAACGGGGTGGTTTTTAGTCAGTAAGAGTCTGACACTCCCTCCCGCCTCATCTAGGCGGGAGCAGTCATTCGATGATTTTCCCCCCTTAAAAAAAGAAGACGCGCCGTACGCTCGGGTAAAATTGTACATTAGGTATCTATTAAGGTTTTAATGAATAATTTTGTATAGAACATAAGGCGCCGACTTCTAACCTATCAGTGGGTGGGGGTGGGTAACGAACGTATCAGTACCTACTAATAATCGTTATTTTTTCTTTTAAGTTTTGACTTTTTGTTTGTTATTAGTTTTTGGTTTTTTGAAGTCGGTTTTGTATTTACTTTTACTTCTTTATGGTCTGGTATTTACATGTACCCAAATATACATCTGCTTGCAAATATTTGTTCGTAATTTTTTGCGTTGCGAATTCGCATTGCATCGTATCGCAATTTTTTTATACGAGCCCCATACCACAATCGTCCAACGAAGACGTCCAGACATGGCAATGGTGCGGGGTGTGATGGGCAAGACGCGGGTAGGCCGATCCCGAGCTGCGAACAAAACGATGTTAGTAGCTCGGGATATTATTCAGGGCTAACGCGTGTTTGTTTTTACCGACTTCAAAAAAAGGAGAAGCCACTATGTTCGAATGATTATTTCTTTTTAATGTAGGTATGTTTGCCGGTGCATGAAATTTACAATTTATCGTCATGGTTGTCGGTTTCATGGTGTTGTCAAAATGCAAATCAAAGATGGCCGCTGTCCGAAATTTTCTATTTACACTAGGTACCTACTTAATTGCAATTGTGAACTACGTACGTAAGTAGGTACCTTCCAGTTCTGCAGTACCTGTAGGTATCTATCTAAATGATTAGGTAGTGACATAAGTACTCGAGTACTTACCCAGCTAAAAATAAAATGCAAAATGGTAGGTATAAAGTTTAATGATAAACATTCAAATTACTAGGTAGGTAAGTGTAATTTGTTTATAATATTTGTGAGGCAATAACTAAATAGGTACCTAAATACCTACTTGCTTTAGTCTTTGACTGCCGGCAGTAAGTGTTGAAGGCAATTTTTCCGCTTACAATGCACATACTAAATAATGTTGCGCATAAAACACTTGAAGGGTTAAACTAATTATTTCACAGTGCACTTATTATTTAATCTTGTCTTGAACTGATATACATTTGTTGGGGGAAGTGGAACAAGAACACGTATTATATACATATATTGCGCAGATTCCGTAACTTGGGGTAAGGTCCTTATTAAATCTTTCTGTCCTTATCATAAGGACAGCAGATGTAAAGGCCATCTTAGCTTAATTGCAAACATCGTGCAGTAACTAAGCAGTGCAACAGCCAATACATTTCGGAATACCGATATCTAGTTAAGTATTTCAAAACTGTCCAATATTTCCTAATGAGATGATCTCATCTGAGATACACAACAGTCCCGTAAAGGATACGAAAATTAGTGTGCATACATATTATGTTTGTCAAATAGTGGGCTTAGTCACCGCCGCCGTCACCACCGCACTCACAGCGTGCAGGACGATGCGCAGCAAGAGACGCGGACAAACAGACGCGTAGCGTGACGTGGTACGTGCGAGGCCACTCAGTGGCGCTCCGCCGTATCAGCGGCGCAGGCGCCGGCGCAGTGGCACGCGGCAGGCACAGGCGCCGCCAGTCAGTGCCGCTCCGACAAACTGCCAGCATGGCGGCGCCCGCGCACGACGACCCGCCCGGCGGACCGCATCCCGTCTCTGCCAGTAAGTCTTCTATTAGCACTTCTTGTACTCGTACTCATTCGTATTCAAGTGAACAGCACATTACTTTCGTATACTTGGTGTCCTAAGTAAGTACCTCCGTGTAGGTACAAGAAGTGCTTCATGTTATTTACAAACAGAAGAGTCCTGGTGTCGAGAGATGCCTGTTTCCTGTTGTCTCATAACCAGCCGCTGCGCGTTGACCAAGTGTTAATAGAAAATTCAGTTCGGAGATTTTACAAGTACTAGCTCTTTTCATTGGAAGGGAACCAGCGACTAAAAGTACATATACATACATGTCATACATTGCCTACATTACCGACCTGCCTGCCCATCTATATCTATACATATAATAAAACTGCAGAAGTATACATTCTGTACATTGAAAATATTAAGAAAATAAATAGTGGGGGGGGGTGTTACTAGATAGATACAAAACTCACATATGATTAAAAAAAATGTTGTCTGTATGTATGTTCAGGCATCTCGCAAAAACTACCGGCCTGACTACTGTAGGGCCGATGGTTGAGATTAGCTTAAACATTTTTTTTTATCTTTTATTATTTTTTTTTTATATGTGAAACCTGAACTAGGTCCAAGCCTGTGTTTCAGGTTAAAAATGTACTGAAATATTTAAAATACAATAATATTGCTTATAAAACTAAAAATGTTATGTCTAAATTAAATTAAGCTAGTCTCTAAGTATAACAGGTGCGCGTGTACACTTTCATAAACATAAACATATATATATAATTATAAATGAAAAAATATGTGAGTTTATGAGTATGTTTTTTAGTTTAGTCACATAAAAACGGCTGAAGGAACCGGGATGAAATTTGGAACAGAGGTACATTATGGCCTGGAGTAACACATAGGGTAATTTTTAACTCCGGGAACGCGGACGAAGCTGCTGGCAGAAGCTAGTGTTATTAATAAAAGTATGGACCTAAGTACCTCATCGAACAGTTAGGACAGTAGGTACCGGTACCCGGCTGCCGGCACATCGGCACATGTACGTACTTACATATTATTGACAATGGTTCTGAAAAGTACCAATCCGCATTGAGCAAGCGTGGTGATTAATGCTCAAACCTTCTCTGTGTGAGAAGAGGCTTTGTTCAGCAGTGGCCATTTATAGGCTGTTCATGAGATGGGTTCTGAAAAGGCATAGAGAAAAATACTTTACAAGAATTATGAGAAAGGATTGTATGGTCCACGGAACTTGTAACTTCTAACGGAAAAACATGATGTAAATCTCTAACGAATGGAATACTACCATCTCGATTAAACACACTGATTTTGTACGTTTAAATTTTATATTCCTATATTCCCATTTGGCGCAGTCAGGATACTTGTACAATACCTACCTTGCAAATGTGAAGTATTTGTCTTATGACCTGCCTTATGGACTGATACCGCTTCTTGTACTAGCTCAACTCGCATTGACCATGTCTTTCCTATAACTTTTCTGAACGCTGCTTGTTCTAGAATATTCGAGAAGCTGAAGAAATAGCGTTCATAACATGTGTGTCTTGTTCATATCGCCTTTACCTCAGATGGCATTAGCACACGATTGTGAAACAATTGATACACATTGGTCGTTTGGTATCCACCCACTTTGCTAAGTAGGTAGGCTGTAGTGGGTACAGATAGAGTCGGACAATAGTACATAGTACTACGACACGGCTTTTTAATCTGGTACATAACCTGTAACTGTAAATGTGTCACTGTTTAGAAATTAAATAAACCTCGTGTACGTGTGTAGTGTGTACTACTTACATAATAATGGGCTCTGACGTCACCCTGAATATTTGCAAATTTTTATTATTTGTTTACATAGTACGCCATATACCCCGCGCCCCGCCTCCGCCAAGTGGTGCACATTATTAAATATGACATCCACTTATCACCACTTATTTTAAAAATACCATAAAGTCTTCATTCCTTCTTTACCTACTACCACAGTCGTTGTTATTGTTGAATAAATCCCCGAGCGTACCTTGCCTGACACGGCAACCGCACGTCTGACCACCCGACCAATAAAGTACTTAACCGGCTCAGTAGCTGCGCAGCGCGTAGCAGATTCGATTCCCGCACGGAACAACGGTTCGGTATTTTTACGAATACTATATAGAATAGAATTATAGAATTTACGAATACTATATAGAAATAGTTTTTGTCCCTCGAGAGCACGGACGAAGCCGCCGATAGAAGCTAGTTATATAATGTGTTCTCTCAGTAGGTACGTTGTACACAGGCGCGGCGTTCAGTGCGTCGATTTCAATCTTATCTGATCATCCTTTGATTTGGATTTATTTAGTTTGATGTGAGTTTGATGGTAGGTGAATGGTAATCAGTACAGTATTTAATCATAATTAGCGATCTACTTGATAGCAGGTATTTATATTCCCTATCTGTGGTGTGTGGTAGCGACAGTCCGGCATCGATCTGATCGATCACCATGCCATGTAGTTGGTATCAGAGCCGGCGCGGCGCGCGGCGCGCGGTCGCTACTAAACTATACTAGGTACTTGTAAAGTTGCTTGTGTATACTATAGGTACCTTTTTTTAATTTATTTAATTTAAAGATAAAGCGTCGCATTTGTAATGTTATGCGATTAAATAGGGGGCCACTATAGTTTCCTGGTTTTAACTATTTTATTTATAAAAGTCTAGGAGAGTACCTTTATACAATAATGTAGGTACATACTTAGTGCATAGGTGCATAGCAACCTACAGGTTTTAATTTCCCTGTGCCATGTGTTTCGTTACGCATGAACCTACTATATTACACGGCATATACTCAACAGTTAGATAATACATTGTACATTCTATCACACATTTCCATTTCCCGATACGATAGACAGAAGACAGAACTAGATGCAATTAAAACTTTATTTCAATTGAAACCCGAACATAAAACTTACATCTTTTTTATGAAACAAGCCCGCCACAACCTGCCACAACCTGCCACAACCGCTGCAACTCCTGTAAGTCAAGATTATTATCAATACATAGTATAAAACAAAGTCGCTTTCGCTGTATGTCCGTATGTATGCTTAGATCTTTAAAACTACGCAACGGATTTTGATGCGGTTTTTAATAGATAGAGTGATTTTTAAGGAAGGTTTGTATGTATAATACATGCATATTGCACCCGTGCGAAGCCGGGGCGGGTCACTAGTTATTATTAAAGAATACAAATATCTTTTAGGTCACAATAGCTTCTGCTATTGCCAGCGGCTTCGTCTGCATCACACAATGTGTGGCCTCCAGGCCGTAGATAATGTAATTCATCTAAATCTGATTCACGTGTTGATTTTGGCGTGAATGATTATGGGTCGAGTTAAAAAACAACACTTTATTATTACTTTGTTTTTGGCAATAGAAAGTTATTGTATCCTGCTGTTTTATTATTTATCCTATAATCGGATTACTTTATTATCGACAGAAGTAAGATAATCTCAGTGACTCGTTAAGTGGTATTTACTATCTTCGTAAAGCAGATTAATCAGAAGTCCTAATGTTTAGCCTTTAATACTAGCCGCGCACGTGATTTTATATCACTACATGTCAACTTTGATATTTCTAACCGACGCGATGTCAAAAAAGAAACAGGATGCGGCAGTTCAATTCGACCTCAGACCGAATCTAGTTAGACACCCGGCAGCGTGTCAAGCCAAGTTCAAGAAAGAGAACTGGCGAGCTGCACCATGTGTAATATTACACGAATTTGGAGCCACTTTTGACCTCCTCATAAATCAAAAACTATTTCACATAAACGTATCAAAGGCTCATTGCGAGATACATAAGTGTCCTAAATGTTATAATATTACCTCAAACGATTATTTAGATATTAAGTAACCTGGTTATTGGATGTCCCATTATATAATTTTATATCAGTCTGTTAGTATTTTAATTTTTCAGATCGTGGTTAAGGTAGTTGGTAATGACAGCCTCTATCAATACATAGTATAAAACAAAGTCGCTTTCGCTGTATGTCCGTATGTATGCTTAGATCTTTAAAACTACGCAACGGATTTTGATGCGGTTTTTTTTAATAGATAGAGTGATTCTTAAGGAAGGTTTGTATGTATATACATATTGCACCCGTGCGAAGCCGGGGCGGGTCGCTAGTAGCTACATAAGTTATTACAATTGAAAAATGGACTACAGTAATAAAAATATTTATTTCTTTGACAATTGATGTCCAACAATGTTCATTTTATCATTGACTGACTGACCCATAGATCAAAACTCTAACCCAGTTCCAGATGACCAAGAGAGTTGAAATTTTGTATGCAGATAGGTAATTATATAAATAAAAAACTGTCAATTTTTAAATAATTAGATTCTATTAATAACGCTTAACATAAATACCTAATAAGTGCCTGTACCGAACTATAGACTAACTATTCTTTTTATTATATCAAATATCAATTTTTATAATTTATTTCTGTGGTACACTTCTTATCATTCTCTTTCAATTTATTTTGCATTTTATTTTGTCATACTTTTGTTGTCATACACATTTGATACTCTAGCAAGTGGGGGAGGTTGCTTTTATTGTATTAGTAAGCAGCCACCGCTCTTTTTTTTTGTAATATCTATTGTATGTAATATCTGTTTATTTTAGTATTTATAGTTATCTGTCTCATTATTAGTTTAATGGATGATTTTATTGGTTTTAGTGATAGTTTTCTCACTTGCTCTCCGGCGTCCAGTTTTGCTAGTGCGGGCAGTGATGCTTCGCAGTCACTCACCTTGCATGACAATTTATCCAGTCGCTTTTCACTCTTCCCGAAAAACCTTAATATCGCTCATACAGGGTATCTCACGGCAGAGTTAGGATTTTAAATTTGAATATTTTAAAAACCGTTGCAAGTAAGCGCGGGGGGAGGAACGCAGTACCTTCGTCATTCGTGCGGATTCGTTAGTCACGATTTCGCAGTGGTCGGGTGAGCACCGCGCGTTCGCTATTGAAGCGTGTTCGCTATTGAAGG